TTAGAACTCATACAGTCAATGGGAAGGAAGCTGAGAGGCGTATTCGGATTGGAAAGATGAAGGAAGGCCAGGGCCGTTACTCCCGCAAAATTGCATGGCGAAGTAAGGGGAATTAAGCTGGAGATCGAAATACGGGGTTCCGTGTAGGTATTTGTTCTTTATTTCTATCAGTTCAGGATTTCTATTAGGAACATTTTCTAGACTTGTCAGACTGTTATCAATGACACTTCACCCAATCCCCTCTCTTCCTTTGGTTCGGTACTCCTGATTGGCGTAGCTTTTGTGTACATATTGGTTATACTGTACCTAGTACCAATAGAAGCAGCGCTTCTATTGCTAATAGCTTGATTTTTCTCGATCTCGTTGTTCAAGTTACTCCACCTATCATCCTAAAGGAACTGTGCTGTACCTGTGCCCATAATTCCCTTCCTTGAAGAGCCGCCCCCCAGCAAGAATACCTCGCCAGCAAGCCGAACCATACTGCGTCATCCAGTATTAATGTGCTGTTAGGTGGCGTTGCGAACCATTCTCTCTTCCCATCCAGGCAGAATACTATTCCCGTTGCCGTCCTATCGTCAAAACCCCAGCGCTCGGACACTCTTTTGTCCTCATTCGTAGTCGCGCGCGGGCCGTCGAGCATCGTGGAGAATAATTGGGATACCCATACATGAGAGTTACCGAGAGAACGGCTGCATTTAATACAAGGCACTTTACACAAGTACATAACTCGAAAGTGCTATTTAGAGCTACTCCTCCTCCTCCTCCTCCTCCTCCCACCCTCTCCCCCATAGCCCTTCGCTTGGTTTGGAATCCCATACTCGAGTATCTCCTTCAGCATGTAATCTCCATCATCCATCGCCGATTGGGGAGCGGGTGAAGAAGAAAAAAAAAAAGGAAAAGATATAAGTAATAAGTCAGCTCACACACGCGGGACTGCCGTACTGTACTCGTACTCGTAGAGAACCACCAGCACGACCAGTCAAATTCTTAGGCAAGGGGGAATAAGCTGAAATGATTTGTCTCATTCGGTGTAACACTCCCGAAAAATTCGTCAAGGGTCTCTGCGCACGAATTTGTTGGCTGATCATAGGCGGTCACTCGCGTCAAGCCACATCGTAATACACCGCTATCATTGCAGACATTTTTGAAACTCGGCGCGGGAAAAAGAAATGGGGTAGTTCAATTACGGTATCATATCCCCTAAACTGCTGAGATTATGAAAAAAATCCAAGACACTGGTCAGCAAGCAACTTTTGTCGATTGCTGCAAGCCGACAGATTGCGCAAACCAAAGCTAATGCCTAAACCAGCTGCAAAATACCCCTCAAAAAGTACCTAAACAGGGAGGCTAAGATTTTGTATGGTGGGTCGTCCGTGCGCATCCGAGCGCCCACACCAAATCCAGACTGAAATGTTCTGGTGAGGGGTACAGTCTTCAGCGGGGGACGGGATGGGCACGACGAAAGAGGGCGGGTGGGAAACAGGGATTGGTATAATAAGAGGTATTTTGTTACCCTACTTTGACGAATTCACTTTCTTGCATGCTCAATACCCCTATTTTTCGCCCGCCAGTTTTCGTCGTATCCAGTTAAGGACTATATTACTGTGCTCGAGGACGGTGCTGGTATGCTCATATCATACCTGCACACCACCACTGAGGAAAACTCGTGCTGAGACAGCGCCATAGTGTCTTAGACACTGACAGGGGTGGCATAAAAAATTTTTCCACTGTCTCAGAAGTCCAGGACTGATCATAATTGACGCGGGAACTACCACGAGGAGGTAAATCAGGTTCCCGAGACTTTGAAAAACGTCATGTACTCGAGTACCTGTACGGTCTCCTGCGGGGATACCGAGAAACCCGGCGGAGGTGAGCGGCTAACGCGGATGGGTAACGAGGGGTGCCTCCTGTTACCCTACCTTGGCGAATCCTTCTTTTCTGCCCATCATACCCGCCCGCCCGCCGGATGTCCCTGCTGGTCGCCCGCCGGCCCCCCATTGCCCCAGGTGAAGAGAGCGGTGGCGGACCAAAACCTGGCTCCCAGACAAAATTCTTAAGAAATTCGGGACGCGTTGACTTATCAGCCTCCAACGGGATAATTTCTCGCGAAATTTTGTGCGAAATCAGCGAGATGCCCGATAGCTCTAATTTTCCTGTCATCACCGTGGTGGGGCTTTTAAAAAATACCATCCACGAGGTTTCACGCCGCAAAAAAGGGGACAAAATATTTACGCACTTCTCCAATCCTCCCATCCCTCAAACAACCCAAAGGTATTGAAAAGGCGGGAGGGAGAATTACTCAAAGCGTGCCGATATTTTTTCCTGAGTTTTCACGAATACCGTACCCGCAAAAAGGCGGAATAATTGGCCCCCAAGCTAGTCGTTGGAGTTGCCTCTCCTAGTAAGGCGTGGTGTAAATTTCTTTTTATTTGTCTCAGAGGAGAGAGCTGTTCTCCCCCTAATCCGAAGGAGGTAATTCTGGACGACTAGCGTGAGGGCAATCATTACAGGGATTTACTTTGAGACTCTTAGCGCGACAACCTGCTCGAAATATAAATTTACCACCATCGAGCAAGAGCAGTCCAATACACAAAAAGGGTTTTTCTCACTGTAAAAAAATTTAAAAAATGTGACAACCGAAATGTGCAAATACCAGGGATAATGTTGTCGCACAGTTAACTCAGGTTAACCGGCAAAATAATCCCTGTCTTGGCCGAAAACATCTCCCCTATCACTTGTATTTACTTTCCTCCCCCACCCACCCCTCAAACCTTTCTTCACAGCTTTGTGGTGGGTCAAAAACGGTAAGGTGGTTCCTGTCCAGGGTCTAACTTTTTCGATGAAACATTATTACCCGGGCAACTGTATCGAAAAGGGTTCTTTTGCCAAGAATACACGGCATTTAGGAGGTTAACCCCTCCACTTCTAATCACATTAACATAATATGATACCGTCGGACCCGTGTATGGGCACGGCACGGTTCACGACAAAAAGTGCTCGATCTGCATATTGGGGGCGCAGAGCGGCTCTTCATCCATGCATCTGAGCCCGCGCGGGTTTCTGCTCGCACGAGAAGGCCCCCCCCATAAAACCTCACCGCATTCTGCTCGAGTGACCGCTTCCGGGAGATTACTTGTACGATAGATACGAAACTACTCGAGTGCCGGTATGATACCATAAAACTCACTAAATCCACCCTACCCCCGCCTGGCCTCGTATCTCCCCGATGAGAGACAGGACGCCCCGAGAAGGTTTTCCAGACGGGGCTTACGTACGCCGTTTATAAAGGATCTAGACACTACCAAGGCCAACGTGTGCGGACACTTTAGGGAGGTATGAACGGCAAAACAGCTTGGGGAGCGATGATGAGCTCGGCGCGTCTTAACTGGTATGATACCGATTCCGGTACCAGCAGCCCTGTTAACCGCCAAAAACCTATTGTGGTTTGTATGATACGATGATTTCCGTGACCCAGCTCGAGAGTGGGGTACAAGTGAGGTTAATAGATTTGTCCGTCACGTGCCATATCTGTGCAGACGGCAGAAAAGAAGGTTCGCCAATTTTCCCTTGTCAGGGTTCACGTGACGGACATATTTTCGGTCTGCACTTGCGTAGCGCATGTATCCACGGCATGATATCATGGGGAATCCCTGTGCGAACACCGCCACAACTCGCTTAACTCATCCCTACCGCCAAGTGCAACATCACACAAGCATTCCCAGGATTTCTTCCTTCCTTTTGGAATGGCTTGCATCTCGGGACCTACAAGACAATGAAATGTTGTCTCAGCTTCTGAGACAGAGGTTAGTTAGTAAGCAGTCTTTTTTTGATGCGGTAAATTTGCAAGCCGTCTACGTGACCTACTTACGCAGGGAGATATGATACTGAGGTTGCAGTATAATGCCTTCTTAGTCATCCACGTCTCAATCATTTACGGGGTGGCACATGATTTCTATGTCCCGGGTGGACCATAAGAGATGGACCGGTAGGGGGGGGGTCAACGAACACGAGGGGCTCAGCAAACAATACTCGAGTAAAAGTGTCTTGACAAATATTGATTTTGTTTGGCTTGTTCGTTGAACCCCCTCCTCCTATGTTACCAGTACTCGTATGATAAATTATGTCAAGCACAACCGCTCATCGGAAAAGCTCGAGGACTGCTCCCAGTATCCCCATATCACATCAATACAGCAACATATGTGCGAATCTATGAGAATCGCTGGGCCATGTTTTCTCTCTTCCAGGCTGCCCCCCCCACCATTTTGGGAGGGTGTTGGAAGCGTTATCGCTGTATCGACACCGGACCTGAATGGTTTTCGCAGCGGGGGAGTGGATCTCTTGCACCAGCAGCTGCACTCTTCGACCGCGAAATCGATTTCCATGTTACTAGCCGAGAAATACCCCCCCGGATACGATGAGCAAAGGGTCGAGAAGACGGACGCCGCAGACCTCATTGTTTGAAAGAGGGCTAGCCTTATATCAAGAACCTCGAGCCTCCATAATACCGTGCCCATAGCGGACTGATCCCTTAGTGGCCTACTTTTACACCACGGTACGAGTAGGGCACTCCTCAGACATCGATCTCAAGGGTCGACGGTTACTTGACAGAGAGTTTTGCGAATACGAGCATTTTGCGTCTAAGTTCACCTTGCTTGCGTTCCGCCAGCCACTTCTAGGGTCGCCGCTTTGTTGGCGGGGTCCGCTCTTGGTGTGCAATGAGTACCGTAACACTCACCTTTCGGCCTAGGGGAGTACGCTGTTAGGCGTAGATTTTTCTTCCTTCCTTCCTTCCTTCCTTCTTCTCTTCCCCTGACGTCTACCATGAAGCTTTACTCGGTCATTTCTCCCGTTCTCCCTATTTGACTGGTGTGCTGGACAGGTAGCCCTGATCGGACCACCAGATCGTGCGTCCCCAGGAGAGTGCAATATATACGATCGTACAGTATAGACTGGGAATCTTGACTACGGATTTAAGAAGGGATGGTGCGGCGGTCTCTCGCATGATCATATATATAGTGTATTTTGAGAGACTGTGTTCCCGTTGGGCAAACACTCTAGCAATCCACAACCGTGAAGTGTCAGCACTATAGCAGGCACTACAATCTTTAATATAACAGTACATACATCACCAACAAAAAGGACGCCATGACCGAGGAATATTGGGAGAAATTTTGTAAAAAGTAAAAAAATAAAAATAAAAAAAAGACACTAGAAGACAGAAAGAGAAATTAACCCCTGATGAACCATTTACCAAGACTACACCAAGCTGAGAATAAAGAAAAGGACAAGTAAACATTGAAAAAGCGCCAGAAAAACAGCACACACATATGTGTATGCACATACAGGGCATATGAACCCCTGGGAGTTAGATAGGTATAATGAGAAGATGGTGGGCGAGGTTTCTATTTTGGTTGAGCCGCTTTCCCACCATCCACGAGAATTTGTTCGTCAATCCTCTCATCCCTGTCAGGCCCTCTCTCGACTCTCTTCCAGGTAGTAATTCTATCCAATGGTGCATTAATCTCGAATAAACGAACTCGTCTCTGATACTTGTTCCAGCCACCATAACCTCCGAATCCACTCCCCCCAGCATAGCACATCCACAAACTTTCTTTTCCGCCGTCAAGTAGACAATACTCATTGGCATGGTCGTGGCCTGCGCTGACAACACTAACCCCGGCATCTACTAATGCATTTTTGAAGCCAGAGTTATAGGATGGGGCGGTTGGGGGTTCGCGTGGTGCATTGTTGTAACCACCTACTATGGGGCGGCTAACTAGTCGGTACTCCGGGAGGGGAATGTGAATGAAGGCCATGTCGAGGTGGACGAAGCTGTAGGAGTTGTGGTCGTGCTTGTCTTTCAGGGTCGATGCAAGTTTTCTGAACCAAATAATTTGAGAAGGCTTGACCCAATCGTAACCCCGGTACTTCTTTTCGTCTGGTGAGTAGGAGTGGGTGTCTACGAAATAGATAGTGAGAGCAGAATGGTCACCCCTAGGTTTGTTAGGTTGGATCTAGGATGACGAAGGAGGGTGTATACTTATGTGCTAAAACTTCAATGTGATAGTTTCCTACCCCGCCCTCGCTCCCTTCCCGACCCTTCTTATCTAGCACTCGCCCACCAAGGGCGGGGCCAACCTCGCTGAGAGAGTATGGCAAGCTTGCGGTAAGTTTCATGATATCCTCCCTACTGAGGTTTCCTTCGTCATCGTGATTGCCCAAGATGGTGGCATACGGAATCTTTCGTTTCACAAAAAGCTCGGCGAATTTGAGAATTGCAGTTTGTGCATCCGGTGCGGTGTCTCCATTGACCTGATCACCGGAGAGCACAGCAAAGTCCGGTTTCTCTTCGTCTAAAATTCTGCCCACGAACTCAAGGGTCCGGGGATCTGCTTCACACCCATCAGTGGTTTCCACTGGTTCCGGGTCCCGACAAGCTCCGACGCCAGTAGAAAGATGCAGGTCTATTCCAGTCAGTATAGAATGCCTGCTTTGTTGCGTATTTGTGGAGCCATACCCGAGACCTGGATGATCTTGAACTTGTGATCACTCCTAAACTTCAATACTGGTTTCTTGGGGCCGGGTGGGGGAGCACCATTTCGAACCGTAATTCTGGGCGACTCCCCAATCGCCAAAATTCCTTCTCGCAACACCCACCCAGGCCTAACCTCTGCAGCATCCGGTCCAAACAAAACATCAATGCCCGTAACAGCATCATCAATAACCTTGGGACTCCTCTTTATCCAAATATCACCCGGTCGAGACTCCCACTTGGCATCGCCGCCGCCCTCGCTTGCCGCCGGCTCCGATCTCCTAATCCTGATATCAACAACAACTTTCTCCCCATTCAACTCCTCCTCCTTCATCCGTTTGAATTGTATGTATCCCTGTGTCAACCACCCCCTGCTTAAAAACAAGTCTTTATCGATGCGAACCCATCCTTCCTCTATTGGACAGCTAAACAGACTGACGCGAAGACATGATTCGTATGTAATATCTGTTATCACCTGTCCAGCGTGGTGTTCCGGCAATAAATTGTGGATTTGTGTGGGGAGGAGAGAGTAGCGGGTGTCGAGAAAGAATAGAACTGTCACGAAGGTTACCGAGAGAAGGATCAGTTGGATGATCGTTCGAACGATCCGACGAGCCATGTTTCCAATAATATAAGCGTAGGAGAGGGAAAGAGTGAGAGGGATAAAAGTGGGTGGAGGTTTGATGGCCCCTGGTATGTTGTGGCGGGAGTGGAGTCAAGATCGCGCCGTAGAATGGAATGGGGTTCGACGGAAGATCGGGGTGTTCAGTTAAGCTTCCCGCGTCATGTGAAACCTTGGGGTTTCCTCAACCAGCATTCAACAACCACGGGGTAGGGAACAACCCTTGTTTCTACCGTATGATATTATAATGCAGCTTGTAAATTTATGTATCCACGGAAGGGGGCAGTTAATGCACCCTCGTTGCTCATTCACCATAGAGTTGATGTGTTCTAAAAAGCAAAACTCGGTTATTTTAATGCAATCCAGAGATCACCTTGACCATCGTAATCTAGAGCACAGCTTATAATACCAGTGCCCCAGAACCACTTTTATTTATTACTACCCTTTTACTTGCATTTTCGCACTTAGAATTATCAAAGCCTCTCGGGTGCTTTGTGGGGAGAAGCGATGCCAAAATATTGGTTACCCGTTCCATCCCCGCCATTTCGATCAACTCTAATAATCCCGTCGGCTCGGGACCATCCATACTCTTTTAAGTTGCATGGCAATCATATCGTTCGAATACGCACCGGTATTGCTTCCCCAACTTGGTAAATTTATACAGCAGCATCTAGAAACAAAGCAACATCTCGTATAGTCTAATCTCTAAACTAGACATTCGTAAACAAGGTGATGAAAGTCTAAGTCATCTCCTTCCTACTCAAAACTTTCATTTCCAAGCCGTTCACCCTAGCATCTATATCTCTAATACCGCTTAAGGCGTCGTCCCTCGCCTCCTTCTGTAGTTGAAGTGTGCTCTCGAACTGGATGCGGACAAATTCTGGTAAAGGAGCCCTGCCCGGAGGAGATTTACCCTTCGGCTTGTAATTGTATACAACGATATCCTCCATACACCGCGCTGCAAGGCGTTGGTGTTTCTCCGATAGTACTTCTCGATTGTCAGTCTCCATACACTAATTTCATATGAGAGGTAGGGGCGTACTAATCACTCCTAGAGTAAACGAGCTGTCTCCGACCTCAGATAGTTTGTGATAGACTGTCACTTTGTCTGGCCACTCTATAGGCTATGCCACCATGAGTTCCTAACCGGCCCACACTAGAAAGGTGACCTACAAGCTTGTAGTCGACCTGAATGCTCTTCAAAATCAAACCCACTCCTCTGGAGGAGCAGAGTTCCGCCCATAAGTCTCGGTTTACGGGATCGACGTGCTTAGCAAAGTTCCACGCCCAGTTTACTCTCGCAGACTCTGCCCATCGGGTATATGTAACGTTATTTACATGGCCTACCCATGGTTAGTCCTTGGTTCCGGAACGCGCTGCGCATACAAGCAGTATTACCCTAACTCCATCAGCATGAATGAGTACACAACATCCTAGGGGAATCCGGATTACCATTGAATCCTAGAAACAGAGTCAGCAAATTGATCCCAGAAGTTATCATGGGTGATATGAAGCTTCATATACCATATCGCCCCACACTACGTTATGTCGGAACAACCCCCGGCGCGTTTCTCCCGTTAAGAAGCCTTCTGATCCCGCGATATACTCTCTCCAGTTCTTTGTGAGCAAACTCAGGATTTCACCGGCTTCGCGAGATTCCTCGGGGGTGGCTCCATGGAAGAAGAGTCTACCGATGCGGTCTTTTGTGTCTGAGAGCCAACGGGGATTTTCTGAGGTCGCGATGGGGGGTTGGGTATACGAGTAGTAGCGGAGAGTGGTTGCAAATTTTCGGTTAGCTGCTGGCCCCAAAACTAATTGACGCAGAGATAGTGGTAACGGGTTCGAAAGGACTTGTTTGATCGACATATCGTACCGGCGGGTTGTGGGTTGATAATCGTAGATTACCCATGGGGGGTAAATTCCGACCACTTTGACCCGGCACCCGTACCCCAGACGATCTTGGGGGGTTTTCAAGGGTTTTTTATGCATACGATACACTGATAAGATCCTTCCAACCCCACAGCCCGGTATAGATAGGCGAACTTGCACCTCCAAAATTTCCCTCTCCGGAAAAGGTGACTCTCTGAAAGACTTATGATAAAAAAATAATAACATATCTTACCAGAGGAGACAACTCGACACAGCACACGGTTCAATCATTTGAGATTTTACGGCATGTTAAACTTCGTCCCAAGTTTCGGTTTCATAATGTATTCCGCGGCACCCGAGCCGGGGATATTCCTCAATTCAGATCCCCCTGCCAAGGTAAAACCAGCCACCATAGCCCCGTATTACTCAGCGCCTTAACCGCAACCCTGCCATTTCGTGTCTGATACAACATTAAACAATCAGCCTCACGATGTCCCTCCGCTATGAAGTCAAGAGGGTTTATAGAGACCTCGTCTGTATCCCCTCTTGAAGAAATTTTGACACAAGATCCCTGGACTTGTGCTGACTAGTACATATATTAGCTCTATCTAGGAAGGGAATATCCGCTTGGTTATAATTATTTTCGACCCCGCTGTCACCGGGCGTTCATGAGCCAAGCAGATGAGACGGACCCGGGAAAAATTAGGGAAGGAATCCAGCGTGCCGAATATGTCAAGAAAGAGATTGAAGCCCTGTTAGTATTCCGGTATGATAACTTTGGGGTCGATAGGGTTCGCTAACGATGCTGTAGATATCAGGTCAGAAAGTATAGAGCCTTGAAGCAAAGTTATGGGTGAAGGTTTCATTTCGGTGCCTTCGATTTAAGTTTAGATAGGGTGTTGAATATTCTCAAGGCATAATAGGACGAGAAATCGAGCACGGTATTAGCCTATCGGTTAGACACTAATAACGTGACCCATATTGGGGAGATATGAGCAAGAAACCGGAGTGCATCTAATCTAGTACTTCTACCTCCACCTTCTTTTAACTGGTACAGTACCAGCCACAGAATACAATAGTGATCCCCTGTGTGGTGATTTTTTACCTCCCTGCGAACCTTAATACCAGTATGATACTAGTTAGAGAGGCCGTGATCGAGGTATTATATCTAGAAAATGAAAATATTTTCCTCTCGCTCTCCAGCGATGAAAGATCAAGACATCCAGTCACGGGATATATGATTCAAATTGCGTCAACACCCAGCCGTGGGGCCTCCCTAAAAGAGCCCATTCTATCCTTGAATTTGTGTGGATTCTTTTATATTGTAGTAGAAGTCAATACAGAGTCGTTAACAGTATACAGTTCAGGGCCATGGCCCAATTGAAACCCCCGCCCGTTATATTCATGATTTTGTAGGTCCCTCCTATAGGATCAACAGATGCGCCCAGTCTGAGAGAATTACATGGGGAGCAGACCGAGCCGTGGAATGTTTGCGGGACCCGTCAGCCCGGTAAAGTCGGAACTTATGTGCCTATCCGTTGTTGCAACACCATTGTTCCAATCACCCTCCTTCACAATTTCGCTCGTTGGAAAATTCATCTTCGGACACCGTTCCACCAGCATAATGTTATCTGGAATTTTTTTCTCCCCCCCCACCGTACATGTCTTACAGTAACTATTCCAAATACCTATCCGTATTCTAGGGCGCCGTTTTCCACTAGGTGTAGGGGTTTTCCTTTGGCTAACTAGATATAGTGTTTATGCGCGTTTTTATAAACAGGCTAAGAGTTTAGAGGGGAAAGTATTTCGTACGATAGATCTAGGGATGCATTTTCTGAGCATATGAGGGAGGCTTGAACAGTCCATTAGGTGCCTAAGAATGTAAGGGGGCCTTAATTTTTAAATTTGCTTTTAGTGCCGTATTCCATATGACATCCACATGAGGGGGGAGTGAGCGCTGTTCCCCAGGATTTCACATTTTTCTCGTTAAATCCTTACTCATATTCGAGGTAATGATACATACACGGTAATGGGTTCGTATATTCTGGTTTCTGTTTGTGCAGTCGAGTCGAGCATTTAGCGAGCGGACCCGCCAGATAAACAATTAAACACTCACTGAGACTACAAGCCTGTTTTCTGTAAGCTAATGAACATTCCATGTTAAATTGGGAAGATCCGGGGCTATTGTACTCGAGTATTTCGACGGTGCTAGTGATATAATGTGACAGTGCCAGTGATACGAGGTTGCAGGCTCCACGCATGCCACAATAACGACCGCTAACGAACTTGTTCCTTGCTTAGGCAAGCAACAATAACATTGTCAACCTTGACGCATTTAGCCTCCCTCTCTTCTCCATCTCCATCAACCCCATCCATCAAGAATAGAGAGACTCGGGTCCTTCACAATCACCTTCTATATCTCACCAATAACCTATCATCGATAGACCTGTCATTTGCCGATATTCTACAGCTTCACAGAACTTTTCACAAAACCTCACCCCCTTTCACTCTTCTGCCCCCGTGAGACCCACACTCGTCAATCCTTTCCTTCTCGAATCCCGAAGTTATTCTCAACCCCGAGGGAGGTGCGTTCAGATCTAGTGATAAATGGCTGTTTTTTTTTGTTGTTTGTTTTGGTTGGCAATCACGAAGTTTTAATGCTCACAAGGCTTCCCCTCTTTTAGTGACAGATCGTCGAGTTCACCCCTCTCACCCCACCTCGAAGACACATGTAAGAGCAACAAAACTAGAATCTGTTCTTGAAGCCCTGTTAATTTCGATCGTTCGCTAGTTTTTGCTCGTCTTCTCGGTTCTAAAGTTCCCAAAAACTCTAGCGGCGCTGGTAGGCCTACCTTTAAGAGCGCAGGTATTGCGTCTCTAATGTTAAAACGACGGATACGATTACCAGCTTTACCAAAACAGACCTGAGCCTTGCGAAACAATTAACCCGATTACCATCGATAGCCCCGCACGCTTTCTATACGCCGACCGCTTCGGGCAGTCAATTTTTACCTGAATGGCAGAGGGCTATGGACAGTATCCAACGGGACAGAACCCATACAATCTCAATAATCGATTCCGAAGGGGCTCACCGCCTCAAACTCCATCCCCCTCTCGTTCGCCAGCACCACAATCGCCTGGCAGTTACCTCTACCACTCGGGCCAACAGCATCATACAATGCTTAATTCCCAAGTCCACCGAGGGTACATGCCTCAACAGCCGCAAAATGTTAAGTTCTTACAACAGTTAGCGCAACCTCAGGGGCACCAAGTTGACCAAGCCATGAATCATGTGCAAAACAATGCCGGAAACAACACAGTTGGAGGCCATTCACATTCTTACTCTTCCGGCGGATTGGGGAATCCCTCCTACGCTTCACCCCAGCACAACTCTAATGGCGTAACAACAACATTGCAGAATACCTCTCCACATTGGCAGGAACAGCAAACCCTTATCGCTACATCTCGTAACTCTAGCTCTCCTCATCACCACGCTCGGCAAGCTGCACTATCAAACAAAAACTCATCCCAAGCTCAAGTTACTGGGGGTATCAATCCAGGCGCATTTCAACCTCTGAGTGCTCAACACCGCAAGGATGGCCCCCCCGTGGAAGAGAAGGAAGTGCGGAAGCATGATACAGGCGAACTGGAGAGGCAGGATTGGAAGTCTTTGGATCTAGGTGGTCAAGGGCTCCGGGCCTTATCTAAATCATTATTTCAGTACACCTTTCTAGACAAGCTATACATAAACCATAATAAGCTTACCGTGCTCCCTCCAGCTATAAGTCGACTGAAGCTCTTACAGCTTCTCGATGCCTCGGGGAATCAACTTACTGAGGTACCACCTGAGTTGGGCATGTTGACGAATTTGAAAAACCTTTACCTGTTCGACAATCAGCTTACTACTCTCCCGAATGAAATTGGATCTCTGTACCACCTAGAGGTTCTCGGAGTAGAGGGGAATCCCCTCCAGTCCGACTTGAAAGAGGTCATGATCAAAGACGGTTCGAGAGGAGTTATCCTGAGTTTAAGAGAATCGATGCAAGGTGAGTCCCAGATTTAGATTTTTGTGGCAGGGTCTTCTAACCCCTTCCAGTTTCATTTTCCCCCGTCGAGAGAGACTGGATAATACTCGATGATTCTTCCAGAAGTGGTGCCAAATCCGAAGCGGATAAATTCCAGGTTTTGTGCTACAACATTCTTTGTGACAAATACGCGACTCAAAATATGTACGGGTATTCGCCTTCTTGGGCACTTTCATGGGATTACCGGAAGAAGTTGATTCATGATCAGTTGATTGAATCGAAGGCGGATATTATCTGCTTGCAGGAAGTTGATATGGAAAATTTCAATGAGTATTTTATGCCTGGGCTTGCTAGGGAAGAATATAAAGGTGCTTTTTATCCAAAGAGCCGAGCAAAGACCATGAACGAAACGGAAAAGAAGTCTGTAGATGGGTGTGCAACGTTTTTCAAGTCTACCAAGTCAGTACATCGACGATTCCCCACTTTTACCAAGAGCACGAGATTGAGCACAAGGTTCTAATAGGCCAATTATAGGTTCTCTCTGCTCGAAAAACAGATTGTTGATTTCAGCTCTGCTGCTTTGAACCGCGAGGATATGAAAAAGACTGCAGATATCTACAACCGTGTCATGCCAAAGGACAATATTGCTGTTATAACTTTCCTGGAGAATAAAATCACAGGCTCACGGCTCATTGTTGCCAACGTTCATATCTACTGGGACCCTCAATACCGAGATGTTAAGCTTGTTCAAGTAGGAATTCTAATGGAAGATATCACTAAATACGCGGATCAGTGGGCGAAGAGCTTTCCGAACAGGGCGCGGTCTCCAGGTGATACGAGCCCTCTGGAACCAGCTGTCAACTATTCAAGCGGTTCTCAAATTCCGTTGATTATTTGTGGGGACTTCAATTCAATCGCGGATAGTGGGGTGTACGAATTGTTATCCCGTGGTTCAGTTGCGAACGACCACGACGACCTGCTTGGGAGAACCTATGGTAACTTTACTAGAGACGGGATGTCGCATCCATTTCCTCTAAAGAGCGGTTATTCAAATATTGGAGAGCTCGATTTTACCAACTACACTCCTGGGTTTACGGGTGTTATCGACTATATTTGGTACACCACAAGCAATCTCAATGTTACAGGATTAATGGGAAATGTTGATAAAGAATACCTGGCGCGAGTGCCTGGGTTTCCTAACATGCACTTCCCCAGCGAGTAAGTTTTCGGTCCATGCATAACCTGCCGAGACCCCGATTCTAATCCGTCTGGTTAGTCATATTCTGCTACAGACCGAATTTCAGGTTAAGCCTCGGAAGGAGCCGATTGTTAAGCCACCACCCCCCGATTTCGGCAACAACCCACCGCGAAAGTCATGAGTAGCGAAAAGGGGGAGAGGAATTATCTTTACAGACGTTAACTCCATAGCATTGCCAATCCAGGAGTACTTTTTCTTTTTCCCCGGGTTTTGTTTTTCCTCTCACCCTTTCAGTCCTTTTTTGTCAACCTCTTTGTTGTGTGAGGAGCGGAATGCGTTTTTCTTGTTTCTGTTTTTCAGTTGGGGTTGTTAAGGCTGGATGGGTTTTCATGTTTCCTTGCTCAATTCGTGGTTTTATGTTATTCCTTCGATATTTTATACTCTTTGTGATCATCCGTTCATTAAGTTTTGTTCAATTCTCGGTGTGTTATTTTTAAGGGTTCTATTTTCTTCATTGTAACCAGAAAAACCCCCTTCTAGCAAGGGGGCCATTCTCTCAGCCCATGAATCTTTTTGTTTAGTACGGTGTCGTGTACTATCACATAGTCGATTGCTTTCTTTTCTTTCTCATCCCTGTCTGTCTGATTTCGCCAATCTGGAGCACTTTCTCCCCCGCCAATCTGGGTGAAGTGGGGGAATGTATCGTTCTTGTGCTTTTTGCTTCTGTGATCACTTTCCTTATTCCCCTTTCGACACCCTGACCTTCCAACAGGGGGGATGTTGAACAGCACTCGTATATATCTGATTGATGTATTTCGGTTTTCTTATTACTTAGGGTGGGTCGGTATAGGATGGCGCTATTGTGTATAAAAGTGAATCTATGGGGGTGGGTTTTTTTGGTGGCTGCATAGAATATTTGACTGCTGGGTAAGGTCAAGCGGGCTTTTTTGGCGCTGGTTTTCCCGCCCCTAATTCAGGGTCCTCAAGCCTCGGATGGGATCTGGGTGGGTTCGGGATGGGTTTATTTTCCTTCGACCGGGCAACCAATGCCATGGGCCATTCATCAAGGGGGTTTGGGTATCCGGAAATAGGCTTTGGGCAGTCCGGAGGTCGAGACCATGTTACACACTTTTTGTAGTGGGGAACTGCGTGAACTAGATTTTGCTTGGAGTGTTAATCCCAGCCACACTAACAAAAGCTCATCCACCGAAAACGCTGGGTGGCCATGTAGGTTCGGTCTGGGCTGTCACGTGGGTGCTTGATATTCCATGGACGAATTATAAATGAAGGCTTATTCCATAGAAAAGAGTTGCAGGTATTACCTTATCGCGAAAAGGACGGGGGAGCCATGCCCTATAATAATACAGTATGATACTTTCAAGTCGGTCGTCACGAGTACTGTACAGTACGGGCTTGGCGGCAGAAAGAAACCAACACCACCCTACGCTTCCACACAAAATGCACAAGTTTAGCTAACTAATGCAAAGGCACGCGACAAACAGTAACCGGATGGTTGCCACGTGGGGGTCCCCTACAAAAATCTCGTCTTGGCAGTGTCTTTAGCCTCGCCGTCCGAGGTTCTGACGCTTGGAATTTTAGGAATCGTTTCTGAAACATGGCTTTCTTTCAATTGTGTGAATCTTGATGTTTGTGCTATCTGGAAAATCACTACATTTTTCTGAGGTTATGGGGGCGAGCAGCCGCCTGTTGAAAATGTGCATTTCATAATTACTGTATTATGGAAAACCGGGTCGGTGTGGGTCTCTTTTATCGCCAAGATGGGGTGATTCAAGGTGATTGGCCAGGAATGACTACACGAGTGACCTTTTGTGATGAGAGATCGCTTGCCCTGTGGAGCATTGGGTTCTGGTTGATGCGTGTTAATACCGTGTATCACCCTTCAGAAAATTCGAAGCCAGCCTCAAGGAAAACCCGGAAGCCGGAAAAGAAGCCGTGTTCCTGGATCACTTCTCTGAGCTTCTCCGGAGAGAACCGAGCGGCACCGTTCCGAATAATAAAAGGCTCCTTAAAAGTTCTGGCAGTGACTTGACTTCGCTACAATTACCAAACTTTTTACCAGAAGCAACAGTCATGTCTAACTTTGGAAAAAAAGAAATTATGTGAGGTGATCAACAGTGAAAGAATGGCTTTAGGTTGGTAATTAATAACCACCTCACGGATCAATTCAGGAATTTTGGTGCTAGGGGGTCTGTGTGGTTTTTGGAGTTGGTATGATATGCATAGCTGATATTCCAAATCAAAAGGGGCAAAATATTTTTTATTTCTCCCCATACATGATACCCCACCGGTTGCAGACCTCACCCTTAGGGATGGTGTCTAGACTCTAGAGTCGGATTATGATATCATAACAGGTCTATTTTTGTGCTACAACCCTATTGAAGAAGGCTAGGGTCTGCAGTCTGCCGTTCCCACAGGGCAGGAATTCTCCTGCGCTACCTGATGGATAACCCAATAATATTAAAACTCCTGAATCAGAATAATAACGGGTGTTTTTATGGGAAAAAGAGTACGATCGCTTTTTAGGTGTTTTGAGTTATGCTTACTTTTAGTTTGCATGGCAATGAAAGCAAGCCTTCTTGTGAAAAAGAGAAAAACATATTTTGACATATCATAGAAATTGATACAATTCAACAACCAATAAATTAAGCAGTATAAAAATAGAAAATATATAATGTCTATTGTTATTTGTATAATTCTATAAAAAATATTTTGAATTATAATTGGATTAATAGATTTTAATTGAGTATTTATAATTAATATACATTAAAGAAATATTATAATTACTGAGTAAGCAGCATTAATAACATTTATTAGCTTTGATCTACTGCTTTTATACTTGTTTTGAAAACTAGAGGGAGAGTCATATTCTTGTTTAATTAGAAGTGTAATTAGTGCTTCTTGTACCTTGCTATTTTCTCCTTAAACAATATTTTCATTTACTTGTTTTACCACTTTTGCATTTACTGCTCTTGTATGTCTCTTCTCATGAACAGTTGAAATTAGTGATTTGGCAGGCTTAAAAGAATACCATAAATCTTGATATTGTAGAAGAATATAAAAGAAATATTTGCTCCAGAGGTCAAGCCACTTCTCAGGGTTCAAGCTAGTATCAATAAGTCTATATGGTTCAATACCTAAGTGGTTAGTAAAAAGAAAATCCTTTTTCCTGAGATCAATTTTCATCCATACATCTGATGGCAGTCTTTTAATCTCTTGTTAGGAGTACCAGAATCTGATACCTAGGAACTACCCTAAGTAGGGTAACTCCACTCAGAATCGGAATTACTATTCTCCAACAACCTCTTCTAGCCACCTTACAGGGCATGCAAGTCATTATACATACTTATCTCAGTTGAGTCCTGTGACTATAAGGCCACAGAATTTATGGTATAAGAATAATACCATATATGTCACTGCCATCTTTCGAACCAGATCCTCTTTACAGACTCTATGAGTGGGGACCTTCGGCTAAGTCTGGGAAGTAGAATGGAGTAGATCTGTCAATTACGTAGGAAGTTACTAGGCTTTAAAGATGTGACATCTTTGGTAAGGGTTATAGGAAATGGGACATTTTTACACAAAGATATGATATCGAATGTTAAAGGATCTCTACATGAGACCAAGATATTTGCACCTACCCTTTGATAACTAGAAGAGTTTAGAACTCGAAGGAACACTATTACAAAAGCTAAGGGACTTCACAGAGTGTTACAACTGGGCCCAGGAATACATTGTGATTACGGGAATAATTCCCAACACTAGAACAATGACTGAAACCCTGTTATCCTGAGCAATTGGTAGTTACTGACTGAGGGATTATCTGCCGATCTGGTAGAATTACTTCCTGCAAATTAGTTGGAAGATATTTGGAAGATATCTGTAGGTTGGATCCAGAGTTATAGTGGTAAAAATCAGGCGACCTATGAAGATTGAAATTGCAACTACCTCTACAGATACAATCCGCAGATAAAACTGATCATTTTATCGATAAAGGAGAAAATTGGGGCCAACTCAGTTCAAATTAAGAACTAGGCCATTAGTCTAATGACTCTGAAGATCAGATAATTACTATTGGGAACAGTATAGTTCCTGATTAGTAATAATGTAATTACTGAAGAGGGGGTAGTGGTTTTCAGAGTCTCCAGGTGTTCATACCTTTGAAGAATACACGATGTTATGAGTTATAACCAGAGAGGTACATAGTTTGTATAATAGATAGATGTAGTTGGTAAATACTCAGACGCGGAATATAAATATCGAAGTGCCTGCTAAGCTTTTAGATATCATCAAGCAATGGAGAAGAGACCTTAACAATATAATATAGTTCTTACAATTCTATCCTACTTTACCTACTTCAACTTACTCTTAGTAATTATAAACAAAACAAGTATATTTTGAGCCATCCAGGACAATTTCTGTCTACAGAAACGAAGCCTGGCTGGCCTAGACAACTCTGAGTCTACACAGGTTATCTCCGCCTAATACCTCTATAATATCTGGAGTTATAGCAGCAAAGTAGAAAAAGTAACAATGAATTTCTTTTAAAGCTTTTAAGTATGAGCTCAAAGTAGTCTCCCAATTATGAAATATTGTACCAGTGGGATTATGTTAGGTAGAGACAACCAATAAATACTGAGAGTTGTCTAGGCCAACCAAGATTTATTTCTGTAGACAGAGATTGTCTAAGAAGGCTCAAAATGTGTACTTGATTTGTTTAAGAGTAAAGCAAAGTAGGTGAAGTAGAATAGAATCATAAAACAATATTATATTGTTAAGATCTGTTCTTCCTTACTTGATTATGTCTAAAAGCTTAGGAGGTACTTTGATATTTATATTCCGCATTTGAGTATTCGCTAACTACATCTATCTATTATACAACTATATACTTCTCTGGTTATAACTTGTAACATTGGGTATTCTTCGAAGATGTGAACACCTCGAGACTCTGAAAATCACTACATCCTCTTTGATAATTACAATATTGCTAACTAGAAACTATACTGTTCTCAATAGTAATTATCTGATCTCCAAAGTCATTAGACTTATGACCTAGTTCTCAAGTTAAACTATATTGGCCCCAATTGTCTCCCCAATCAATGAAATGATCGATTTCATCTGCAGGATGTATCTGCGGAGGTAGTCATAATTTTAACCTTTTTAGATCACCTGACTTTAGACTTCTATAACTCTAAATCCAACTGACAGATATCTTCTGGATGACTTTCTATTAATCTACAGATAGCTATTCTACTAGATTAGCAGATAATCCTGCAGTTGACAATTCTTAGTTGCTCTAAGTAATAGTATTTCAATCACTATTAGTATTGGTAACTATTCTTCAACTACCATATAATTCTGAATTCAGTTGTAACATTCCATGAAGACTATTGGCTTCTGTGGTAGTGTTCCTCAGAGTTCTAGACTCTTTTAGTTATTATAGAGTGGGTGCAAATATATTTGTTTCTCATTAAGATGTTTTAACATTCTATATTATATCTTTGTACAAAAATGTTCTATTACTTACAGCTTTTACCAAAGTTGTCACAACTCTGTAGCCTAGTTACTTCCTGAGTAGTTAACAGATTTACTCTGTTCTACTTCCTAGAAGTAGTCAATGGTTCACTCTCATATATCCTGTAGACAGGATCTGGTCAGATAGACAG